GACCTAGGAAGGAGCCATTGTACGATCTCACCCGCATCCGAAAATGGAGTAACTTTTTTATTTCGTCGATCTTATCCTCCTTTTCGAAGAATCTTGCTTTTCACGAAATCCACCCTTTCTCTCGCGAACATTTCCTGATATTTTTTAGTCGCTGGATAGATGTACAATCTCCAAACTTCTCAAATTGCAATTTTGTGAAATATTATGTAGTATATTTAAATCTTTTCCTCATTTATATATAATATATAATATTCGTGTGTACATTTTATTACCAGAATTGTTAAAAAGAATGGAATTTTTTAATTATTATTTATTTAAGTAAAACTCTTCTCTCGACCGTACTGGCAAATATTATTATTTATTAAATCACAACGTTTCGACCCTTCTTTGAGTCCTAATCAAGTGATTTGTGAAAATAAAAATAAATTTATAATTTTATTTTATAAATTAGAAGAGTTTTATTTTTTTTAATTCTGTCTGGCGATTCTCAAATATCTACGTTTTTATTTTTTTATTATTTATTTATTTATTATTTTATTATTGTTATTTAAAAGGATCCTTTTAATCAGACAGAGATCGAGCCTCAAATATAAATATAAATTCGCGACGCATTCGACAAGTCGTGGTAAGAATAACTTTTCGTAATCGTTTTCAATTGGATTTACGGTACTTTCGAATTTGTCTTATAACTAGATTGTATATTGTCGAGCGAAACCAATGATATGGTCGACAATCCGAAGGGTCAGACATCGTGGAGGAATCTTTCTCCTGAACGATTTATTTGGTCTCTTAACAAAAGATCGGCCCATAAAACAAGTCCAACATAGTCAAGTGTGTGCGTAATTTATTTACTGCGTTTTCTCATATCGGATCAACTCACGATCGCAGTTAACTGCGAACGATTTATAGAGTTCTAAAGCACTTTCATCTACCATTTGTTGCTTTTTACTTTAGAATGAAAGTTTAGATGGAGTTTAAATCAACTCGATTGAACATAAATTCAACAAAATGGAAGTGGGGAGCGGTTGCAAAGTCGTATTAACATGATCATTTGAAAACCATACCGAGAAAAATATGTAATCTATTTACATATATGTGTCATACACAGGATGTTTCATCTCACAACGTAAAGGGAAAGAAACAATACGCTACAAAAATTTTTGTTACAACGGAAGAAGAGCATAATTGAATATTAAATTTAAATAAATAAAAGTTTAATGTTATTTTATAATATAATATCATAAAATATAATAAAATATTATTTTATATTATTTCGAATATAATAATATTTTATAATATTATTAATAATATTTAAAATTTATTTAAATAAATAAAATACTAATAAAACAAAGTTTTAACGAAGTAAAAATATTCAATTTAAAATCACAAGCGATAATTAAGTATTATTTTACATGATTCTTTCAGTGTAAGAATCCTTTTTCGTTCTTTAATTCGATTTTGGAGTAAGACGAGACATCTCCGCGCATAATACACTTACACTTGCGGCTGCAACTCACTCTATATTAATATACGTCTAGCATGAAGGAATATCAACGGCATAATTCGTTCTAGAACGCGATTCCGCTCGCGTCATTGCTCCTCCAACGCGCGCGAGGAATGCCTTTCGTTTCTCGTAGCTTCGTTTCCTGTGCATGAAGGGAAGGAATCAGCGCGCGGCGGTATATTTTGCACGGGTTGCACCCGGAAATTCTCAAAGGGGAGAGAGAGACGCGTATCCGCGAACGAAAAGCGTATTCCCTGTAGAAGGGTTCGACCCGAAAGTGGCTCCGCCGAGCGATTCGAATCTCTCGCGAAAGGGCTTTTCCGCGCGAGTGCTTATTTCCAACCCTTCGGATTCCCTTTCCTCCTTCCTGAGCAACTTCTCGGCGACATACGTCGCTGCTTCCATAAAGAGGAAGGAATTTAAAGTCGGCGACTTATAGTCGGAATAAAAGTGTCGCGCGTATACGTCGATAAACGCGCTCCTTTTTCGCGAGAGAAAAACGTATGTATGTAAATCGAGCGACGATTGAGAAAAAGAAGCTCGAAGAGAGGCGAGAATAAAGCAATTATGGATGAACGACGGAAGAATATAGATGTATTTATTTTGAAACAAGCGCGGGTATAAATGAAGGACGCGCGAACAAATCGAGATCGAGTGACGGATAAGGCTGGATTATGGGAATCAGATTTGTTTTACGACTCGAGTTTTCGTTGCAAGTGTGTGTACCTTCTTAAAGATTGAGACGCGCGATATGATGATCCTTCGGTTTATAGTTTGATCTTCTATCGGATATAAAAACTCGCGACGGTTTTGTGTATTTAGCGCATTTTATATATATATATATATATATATATATATATATATATATATATATATATGTATATTTTTTTTACCACCGTTGTATAAATAATAGCGCGTCTATAGATATCTAACAAACAAATCTCTCGAAAATACAGAGATCTATGTCCATCGATAATTAATCGCGTTATCTCCTGAGATAAATCTGAATTAATTCGACTAATATTCTATTGCCACGATAAGGGGTTGCCATATACGCCGACGATATCGAGATTAGCCATTGTTAGTTTCCGGTATCATCGGTTCCTTGCGACGGCGGGAGAAACGCAACAACGCAGACGGAGGGAATTACGCGTCCTGACTTCGGTCTCTGGGGCGAACTTGCACAACGGAGTACCGAGTAAACGTTTACGTATAGTGACGGACGACACGGACGTAGAATGTATCGACATATGCGGAAAATCGATTTCTCCCGCGGGAGAATCCCCGCGTGCACGTGAAATGCGGGGAGGGTTGGGGGAGGGGGAGGAAGAACCGGGGCCCCAAGACCGGGGAACTCTGATAATTAGATGGATATCGTACGTACATAGTGCGAGTGCGCCGTATATAGGCGATCGAGTCGCGCGCACAGGGAATCCAACGCGGACGTGTCGGTAGTAGCTTGAAACGCGGAAATGTAATTTCCACATTTCTCTCACAGGCAGCACAGGGAGGGGGAAGGGAGGGCGGATCTCTTCCTTCACCTCCGTGTACGCGAAATATTACAATCAGCGAGCAGTTTTTTTTTTTTCTCGTGTATTCGCGAGCGAGAAAATTCATCGGTTTTCAATTACTGCGCACGGGTGAATTTAATGTGACCGAGAGAAAAAAAAATGCGATAATGTATATATGGAATAAAAATATTTTTTTAGTAGTATAAAACTGATATTAGTAAAAGAAAACGCAAATATTCCAAGTGTCATATATGTATACTTTTGACATGTCATATTTTATGTGAACGAAAACTGAAATGTGTGGTATGTTTCAACTCTACGATTTTTATTTTTCAACTTAAATTTTTTTTCAAAATAGCTTACCTACTACTGCATTTTTTGCATTTTTGAAAATATTGCATCTTGTTTATTTTATACACAAAATTATGAAAAATGGAAAAATAGGAGTGCTTTTTTTGTTAATCACATAAATAATGGATTATTGTTTTCTTGTTTGTGTATGTGGCTACACACAATTACTACATCATAGCAATTAAAATTACTGCTCGCTTCATTAAGATGCGCCCGTGTAACATTGTCAGATTGCGTTTAACGTAATTAAGCACGGACATAGCCGTGTAACTCGAGTCCTTGCACGCAATTAGCCGATTGAAAGTGGAATCCTAGGAATCCACGACAATGTGCGGATATCACCGACCGGCAATTTCATGTAACCGATGACTCTTCCCTAATGTTACTCGCTCTTTTTACGGCTGATGTATTTACTGCTCGAATGAAAGTTTTCTTAATTAAAAAGCTGGAATCTTCTTTTCCCTCACGCATTTGTTTGCGATTTCCGTTCTTTCTTTCCATTCTTCGGCTTTCGCAGAAATGCAGTTGCCGCATTTCCGGGCAACGTCGAAAATGCATTCCCGTGGAAGCTTTGCAACACGATTTTTGTTTTAATCTTTTTGTCATGAAATTGTGGCCGTCATTGATTTTTATTTCAACGCTTTCTATTCAGCCATTTCGAGGCTTGCGATCGATAGTTGTGTATTCTTTGCGATATGATATTTAAAACGCGAGAGTTCAAAATTGATATCTTTTTTTATTCGTTATTTTATTCGTGAATGGCTCGTCGCTCATTTCGCCGATTTATTCTCGCGTTTCAAATATTGGCACATGTCATATAATTTTATATGCAGATTAATCCCAGCGGGTATTGGTTTCACTCGCATCTCCAAGAGTTTTTTTTAAAAAGGCAAATTTAATCTCATTTTAAACTCGAACTCGTCGGTCAAAAGGATCGGTCGTAAAATTAAGCCGCGGTAGTAACGAATTAGTTCAGTTGCAGTTGTCATAACTTGTCCACCGTTGTATGTGTAAGTGTGTGTGTGTGTGTGTCTTTTTGCCTTTACGTATATTCTGCATAGCGATTGCAATAAACTGCGGTAAAGGATCCTGTAATTTCAAGCTTCGACTTCAAAGCGTCATCGGGATAGATAGTTTTCTGTGCTTTGTTCCTTTATTAAATCTATGTCAAATGTGTCTTTCCTTGCTTTGCTCATTCGTGCAATTAATTAATGTTACATTTTTGTACAATATCCCTTATTATCTTATCATATTAAAATAATTCGCTTTTTTTAATTTTATACATTTATTATACATTTTATTATAATTCCAATCAACGTGATATCTGATTGAAAATGATTTATTCGTAATGATATATAATGTTCACTTTTTCGATTATTAAAAAATGAAGATTTAAAGAATAGTTTTTTTTATTGAAAATATTTTGGAAACAACATTTAGAGCGTATCGTCAAAAATACATAAAACACTGTTTCCATAATTTATTATTTCGAATGTGTTTGATTAAGATCTCGATTTGATATCCAGTTATATAAAAGATATAGAATTCTGTTTTTTACAATATATATATATATATATATATATATTTATCGCTCCTCATCGCAAAGTGAGCGGATCTTCTGAATGACGCGTTAGCACTCACTGTTGCAGAGGGTGGTCGGAATTTGTCAGAAGAAGCGGCAGTGCAAGTTCAACACCAGCCCGAAGACTTTCGGCGACCCTTGCCCCGGAATGCAAAAGTACCTCGAAGTCGCCTACAAATGCCGTCCCTGTAAGTACTCTCTCATCTGTATGTACACGTAGATTTACACATTTATATGGATGCATGCGCGAACGTGCACGAGGAAACGTGAGATCGAACCTTTGAGAAGATTGTTTTTCTCCGAGACATCCGATTTCCTTTTACGCGCGAACATTGCGAATCGTGCATTAGGTCGATTCACCGTCTGCATAAAAGTAGACCATAAGAGAGGATGAAATGTCTCGCACGACGAATTCGGTGAGAGATTCGCAGGCAATTTTCAGGGACGATGCGATCTGGTAAACCGCGGCTAATCCCGAACAGGTTGCAAGAATAGTTACTGCGGCTGAAACTTTGCCATTATCCTGAAACCCTTCGTGTAAATTCTCTAATAAAGTCAACCAATTTTAAATTAATATAATTTTAAATCGAGGTTCGCTTGATTTTTCTTCAATTATTTTTTACATTTTTGACAAGTAAGTATACTTTTTTGCAATTAGATATTGGCGACTGACAATGAGAACACATACTAGAAAATTAAATTTTATATTAAGTAATAACAATTTGTTTGTATTTCTTCTTGAGTGGGATTAATTTCGATACTACTTTTGTCTTTAAGCGAACTTTGTAAATTTCGGGCTTGTCTAGAATTACGAAGATTATACGAAGAATTATGGGATAGCGGTGCTGGAGGATTCCATTGCAGTTTCCGTCCTATATATACCTGCTTATCGCGAATAACAAAAACGTTAGTTTGAACCGTAGCGGTGATATTCGAGATCTATACACACGCGGTCGCATAGAGCACAATGACGACAACCTGTTGCGGTAACAAGCTCTAAGTAATTTTTGCTGCGAAGCGTAGTGTAACTCTATCGCAGCGGGTTTTACATTCTGCAGATCCGTGGCTGGTTTCTACAATCACGCTTAAGCCACAGCCATCTCATTATTTACTGCACACACGGTAAATCCAGGTGCTTTTTCGGGAGGGGGCACTGTTGGCAACATTAAATCACTCCTGAACAAAGGTGTATCAGTTTCTGCTGGAAAAAACCTAGAAGATAGAGTGGAATGCGAGCGTAAGAAACACAGTTTCGTAACCGGTTCCGTTTTAACTCAATACGATACGAGAATGTTGAATGGTAGAAGTTGGATTTATTTTGCTTCGTTATCTAAAAAATTTTAGCTTTACGAGACGCGTTTGGTTTTGTATAAAATTATATAAAAAGATTATATTAAAAAAATATATATTGCGTGTGTGAAATTTATTATTTTTCGTTGTACAGAGGAAAACAAGATGCGGTTCTTTTAAAGTAGTTTGGTTATTTATGGGGATGGAGGCTTACAGCGCTTTAAACGGATTTACCCAAGCTGTGTGTATATGTTTAAAAAATATCGAGTATGTTTTTTTATACTATTTGAGGTGAATGCATATTTGATAACATTGAAGTACGCCAAATGTACTGTTTTCTATATTTTATTTCCATGTAACGATATATCGTTAACAAGACTCACCAAATAAAAGTTATTTTAATTTTAAAAAAATGTCATATTTGTTGCTCGTACACTTTGAAACGAAAACGTTTAACGCTATAAAAATGTTTCTTTTTTTGCTTGTTTTTTTCTCCCCTACAAGCATTGCTAAAAATCGTGAAATAAAAATTGTTACATTTTTGTAGTGTAGTGTGACGGATCAATTTTCTGTCAAAATGACTTGTATAGTATTATTCTTCATTGATATTAAATTTTTATTAAGGATTGTAACAGTTCAATAGTTCTCCATATGAATATTCTATTTATTGTATATGTATAATTATTCTATTTCTATTAAGGTTAATTTGTATAATTACTATTAATATAAATTTGTATAAATTTACATAACATTGATACAAATTAATATGAATGTGATAATTACATGTATTTTGATTTTACGGAGTATAATCATAAAGTAGAATTTAAACGTCAAATTAATGCAGTTGTAATAAGTGACAATTGACAAGAAAGCATTTTTAAAGAATTGGGTAAATCTGTTAATTAAAAATATTAACATACATATCTTTATCAAAATCAAATAATATATGTGTTCGTGAATAAATTGTCATATGCATATTTTCAATTTTCAAGCATATTGCGTTACTAATTTCTAGAATTAAGTATTTCTAGTATTTTTTTTTTTTTTTATATTTAACGAAGAACAAATCGATATAAAAATGTGAGAATACACAGTAAGATTAACATCTAGTAAATAAAAAGAAAAATACTACTTGTGAAAGCGTCCCACTCTTATCTTATCGTAGAGCAACTTACAAGATAGTTTTTGCTTAACAAGCTTTGCAATCAGCCCGCGAGATCGTTTTCAGAAGAACAGCGAGCGGAACGTGGAACACTTCAGCGGATACGAGGAAAAGTTTGGCAAACGAGAGTACATATTATGGCGGACGAGGTAGAGAAGTTTTCCCGGCGTATTTGCGCCGTGTAATATAGAAGACAATGGCTTTGAGTACCGCCTCGGGGGCTTTCTTGTCTTAAGATCTTTTAGAATAATTTTTAACGTCTATAAAAAGATTTCGATTCAATACAAGGAGCATTTAAAAAAAAAATTTTTTATAAGATATAATCTCTTCGACACGAGAGTGAATGAACAAATTTAACGAAGCGGGCAGGCAAGTAGTACAAGTCAATATCATAGCAGACTGTTGGTAGATGGATTAGTTTCTAAAGAAAATTAAATATTGAATTCTTAAAGTATCGTCTCTCAGGCAAACATTGTATCATTTATTAACAAATTCATTTATATTTCATGTAAATTTCCATTAATTTATTATCATTAGTTTTATAACGTAAATTTATATGAACATTTGATTAATTTCTTTATTATATATATAAGAGAAAATGGAATATACGTATCTAGATTTCTCTTTCTTTCCTCTTTTTCTTTTTTTCTAAAAGAAATTATTCAAAACATGATACAAGTTAATTCGCTTTTCGCGCTAATGGTTTTGCAGGATATAGCTTAATTATAGCACGTAAATTTCTGGCTGCAAAATGATGAAGATAGGAAACTATAAATGGAAAAATCCAGCACTGTCCCGTGAAATGCACACTTTCGCAAAACTTTTATCGCAGTATCACTTTTTGTGAAAATATGGTGTCACATGCAGTGGCGAAATAAAGACCATACGTACAGCTGTTTATAGAAAGCATGCGCTTGCACTTCGCTTGCAATTCGCAAACGGACTCGAAGGAAATATGACGATAATGGCGATATTTTCGACGATATTGTGTCATAATTTATTTTTTTTATACACTGAAAAATAAATTTATTGATTGTTAACTAAATCTTTCAACTAAATATTATTTTGTTGATTGAACATATAAAAATATTTACTTTAAATATAATATATTAAATCTAACAAAATAATAATTTAGTTGAAAGGTGGTCAAGTTAACACATTTTTTTTGAATGTAGTTGTGTTTTATTATTCGACGCAAACACATATGTGTGTTCTCATTGCAGCTGTACAAATTATCTATTAACATCCATAATACTTTTATCTCATTTAAATTTGTTGTATATACGCTTTATATACGCAAACAAATGTACAGAATTCATACTTTTATTTTATTTATAATATTATATTTTCATAGACAACCTAAAATATTAACATATTATTCTCTAACAATAAGTATAAAATATACAGTATATAAAATATATTAACTTGAATATAAATTTATTAATAGCTGAAATTGTATATTACGTTTTGAAATTCTCTGTCTATAATGCGTTTTTAAAATGTATAAATGGCATATACATATTCATGATGTTTTCACAACTGTACGATTTTATCGAGATGGAAGGAAGAAATCCATTATCATCTAAAGTCGTTTTCATGCGAATCCATTAAAATATATATATATCCGTTTCGCGCGTATTTGCGTACATACCATAGATCTATCCAACTTTATCTGAGAGCGCGAAGCTGCGCGCTCGCGCGCTGGGATGACGCTTGTACGTGGCTAACGCGGTTGTCCCTTGTAATACATCAGCTGGACGATTACATATTACATGTGTCGCGTTACGTGCCAAAGCCAGCCGACACCTCACGCGCCACCCGCAAATCTATCCGACGACAACATGTGCCACTTATTGCGCCGCCTATATACGCACAATAAGCGCCGCGTATACGTACGTGCTTAATCTGTCTAATTAATTTTTTCCCCGTTTCATTCGTCTGATGATCGATGTAATGACGAGTAAACGAGGTTGCTTCATGTTTCGCCGCATCGCGATGGAACCCGCGACGCGTACAAATGGACAATCGGATTGCAATCGGATAGCATTCATGTACCTGAATGCACGAGATCGATTGCTAGATGAATATCAACACATTTTTCGGTATCTATTTTCTTCATTTTCTATCGTATAGAAGCAAATAAGTAATTTCAAGTTATTTAATGCAATTTAACGTAAAAAATAATAAATTAGTAAAAATTGTAACGCTCTTATATATTGAAATAAAATTGTAAAATTAATGTAAGAACAGGCCAACTCAAGAGCATAAATTATTAGGATGTTAGTGAATATTATAAATTTTTATTACTTCCCAATTATACCATATTAAAACAATTAAAACATATTAATACAATTAAATCACAAACGTTTTGACTGTACGCAGTCTTCATCAGTGGAGTCATATAATATTAGTCAATTATAAAATTTTAAAAACCATTTCGACGAGATGCTAACGATTGCAATTCGTACTATTAACGTAAAAAAATTATTGCAACAAAAATCTCTTTGCGTTGCACAGAATTAATAAGATTGTTTTATTATAATATTAATGATTTAACGCGTGGCTTAATCATTTTTCGCGCCATATAATTGCACCCCCGTATCTTATTTAGTCATCTCTATTTATTTCTCGAAATGAACCATTATTACACGCGCTTCTCTGTCTCAGAATCAATTAAAATCATTCCTCACCGACTCTTTGGATTTATCGATCATTTTCGATATCTAATACCTATTTCTCATCCCCGTTAGTCGCTTTCGCGCTATATGTTATCACAGTAGAGTCGTCGGAAAAGGGTCGAACGTACCTTGAAAAGAATTCCATTCGATGGCGTTACATGGGCCGTGTCGTCGAGCATCCGACGTGCCACCTCGGAAGAGAAGAGTATGTATCCTCGCGTTTTTCCTCCCTTTCCGTCTTTCTTTCACCCCATGCACAGGGAGTAGAGGGCATACATATGTGGAAACTGCAGATTTCATCGGGTGAATGGGCTGGATGAGGGTGGCGGGCAAAAAGTAGGTCGATCGAAACTCCGGCCTTTTGCTGAAAAAGCGAGGAGTCGGCTCCATTGTCGCTTCGAGTGGACCACCGTCAAGGGAATTACCTCCTTCCTCTCTTTACACTCCCACCCCCCGTCATCCCCTCCGATGGCGCTTGCTCTTTTTTGCCAATTAAAGCTCCAAACTGGACGTCTTCCTCCATCTGTCTCTCTCTCTTTCTCTCGTACTCCATGGAGGATTCCACGGCAATAAGGAAGTTCCGCGAGCTCTCTTGCCTATAGCGTGAATCCGCTCTTCCGAGCGAAATTTCACGGACCATTGACGCTCCGGTCTTTGATATGTCTACTGGAGAACGCCGCTAGGTGGATACAAGTCTCCGGAGAGGAAGAGCTTTTCTCCGACGGGTATCGCATGGCGATTTTTGCTTTGCATGTAACGTGACCGTAATAGCGCCGCGATTCTACGTAGGGAAATCTTGGAAACGTGCGAGCTAAGGCGTAATTTTATGCTGATAACGCGGAAAATTGTATGCATTGGAGAAGGTTGGACCTTTCTCCGCTTCGTAAAATCATCTTTTAATATTGCGTTTATATACGCGATATTATCCTTCGTTATTAGACGGAGACGATTAATTTCAATTCGCTTAATTTTTAAACATTGTACGATCGAAAGAATTCCAAATACGGATCTTATGTCAATTGTAACGTTTTGTTAATTGTCACGGATAAAATACGCTGATGAAAAGAATACATACTTCTTCTAGTTGTATTTTAAAAATGTTATTTCCGAAAGGAAAATGATGTCAATATAACTTGTGTTCATTACTTTTTAAATTAAATATTCATTATTGTATATTATATAGGATCTAAAAAATAAAAAATATATGGATCGAGAAAAATATGCTTTATATGTCGGAGGAAGGAATGTTTTAAATTAAAATTTGATTTCAAAATTTGATCAATCAATGTTTATAATATTATACGACAAAAGACTAGTAAAAAGAACGTGAGTTCACGTAATATCTTCTACAACAAAAATTATATCGTATTTTAAATTTATATTTATTAAAAACAAAAAAAAGAAAGAAACCATTTTAATATTTCTACCTTATATCTCTAGTCATATAACAAGATTTTATCAGTCTACTCTCTCTCTCTTTAGTTAAAATTCTCTGTTAGTTGTATATATGTATGTACACACATGAAAACTAAAAATATATATAAAAGAGGCCATTTTTGTTAGGAGGCGAAAAAATATGGAATAGAAAAAAATGTGAAACTAAAAATAGGTCAACCGATGGTATAGTACGAATTTATGGTAGCGCGAACGAAAGACGAAACTAACCGGTGTCTGGTATCGTTTTTTTTTGATATGCTAACGATCTTGGCATAACGCTGTTGTGCATCAAACTTTATTCGCACGCATGTAATTTCGCCCTAAATCGCGAGTGGCCGCGTCGGCCCTCCGGGGTTCGTCGGAGGAGTAAAGTTAGTTTCGAAAGGCGCAACGGCGGCGAGCCATCGTAAATCGCCAACTCAATAAAGCAGGGCATAACACTTTATCTCGAGCATAAGTGCGCCCGCCGACTTCCGTGCGTGGCTAAGAAACACGGTCGCGGTATGAAAAGATGTTGCCGGGGGTCCGTGGGTTATGGTCAAAGTTGTTCTTCCGCAACAAAACCCCGATATATCAACGTGTTACCGCGCGTGTACGAGTTTCGCTGCTACTCGAATGCGGATGAATTTGCCGGGGCGGGATAGTTACGTTGTGCATCTAGAATTTTTATCGCCGATATTGTTCCGTAACGAGTCCGCGGTTAATAAAACGTTTAATTGCAAGTTTACGAGGGCGGGATAGTGGAAAATAAAAGGGAAATTCTCTTTTGTTTTTGGGAAGAAAGAAATACTTTATTATCGTATTTGGAACTGTATAAAGAAGAGAGGCAATTGAGCGGGCGTTACGGTTCTTTTTAACGTCGGAAATTGTTTATCAAATTTATGCAAATTTAGAGTTTAATGATGTTTTCCAGACCTTCGATCGACAAATATTCAGAGTGTATACTCCCGAGAAAAACTGTGAAAATCTGATATTCTTACAGAATTTTATACTACCTTGAAAAATCAGGAAATTCTCTCTTGAAATTTGATCAAGCTTCAGAGAATTTTTTTTAAAAATTGTTTTATAATTTATATTTTATTCTTAGCACTTAAGAAACTTATGTCTAATATATCTTAATAAAGAATTAAATATTAATTTAACAATAATTTAAACGAATACAATAAAGAAACTTATTTTAAATAGCTGCATTTACAAATTTTCTTATTGTATTTTCCTGGAATTTTTTTCCTTTAATCTCGTAATTTCGACTAGTCCATTTTTGTATTTCGTGCTAAAATCGATGATTAAGTTTTTCCATCGTAGAATATTCGAATGAAGTAAATGTGTAAGTGAATGTTGCATTTCAGGAATTTGTTAAAGTTCCATCCATCTCTGATTTACTCACGAACTCGCAGTTAGATATTGGCGTAAGACCATTTACATCGGCAATCCGTAAGGTCTCAAATTGCATCAGTCGCAAGAAACTTTGCAGCGCGACGCGGGAATCGCGTCGCGAGGATCGCAAAAACGTACTCTATCGGCAGCTGCAAGCCATTCCGGTTCATTGAAATTCGCGAATGCATTACGTGACTCGTAACGAGACAAGTAGACAGCGTCTGTTTCACTCGTCGAGGGCACATCCGTTCGTAAAAAAGAAGAAGTGTCCTCCGCAATTGAATTCTCGAATCGCAGAATTTACGATTCGTCGCACTCTTGACGCGCAGCTCTAGACATTTAAAAGATTATTTCCCTTTTTCCTTTATACTTATTATTTATATTTTTTTTCTTTTTCTCGCCGCGCGAGACATCTAGATAATCAACGGCGCGGTTGCTCGCTAATAAAGCGCGCTTCATAAGCTGCATTGTGCGAGCATAATTGCATTGTGCGCTACACCGCGACGGAAGCTTTATTAAAAGTCAGTTTTGTGATTTCAGATGAATTCAGGAGTAAAGTGGCTTGCGAGAACGATGTCGTCAATCTCGTTTGCCACCCGACCCAGAGGGTCGCGATCTTCAGCGCGTCTTTTGGTAGGACGGAATATGAATCTCTGCAGTGTCCGCAGCCGCTGGGCGTGCAAGAAGAAAGTAAGTACACTCTTTCATAAATCAACAGTGATTTTGCGTCTCTCCGTTTTTTTTACATATGTATAATAATTGTTTTGTTCGATTAATTTTTGTTATATTTTATTTCGGTTATATGCAACGCCTGCGACACTTGTCGTCTGTTCGACATCTCATTGCTCGTTATTAGAGCCAGCGAAGAGATCGAACATAAACTCGCGATCTTTAAACGCGTCGTGAACTCTCGCGTGCTCTTCCCACTTCGATATCGTCTCCCGCTTTTATACCTCCCGTTTCGAATACGTCGTTCATCCTTGCAGAAAATAATAACGCGCAGACACTTCGAAGTTATGGTCCGGCGTTAAGTATTTATTCGGGCGTAAATATTGCGTGTCATTAAAGTAATGACGCACTATCGTATATATACAGCGTCGTTTTATAGGAATCTCGGCGAGTCCTAGAGGCGACAGATTACAACATTTTTCAATACTTTCGCTCATCCGGACGTTATACACGGGATATCGATCGATAACTTCTGCCGCGTTCGTTTCTTCTACTTGCCGATGAGTTTTTCGGCCGAAGTGCCTCTCCGAGTCGATGTTTGTCCTAGTTTATTGTCATACTTGGCGACGAGATTGCGACTCTTCTTCCCTCTCCGCGGTTGTCCAAGTTTCACGATGAGGTTCGCACGATGTGAAGAGAGAAAATTAAAGTGGATTTTCCCGCAGGTTAAAAAAATAGAAAAATACGAACTGCTTTTTCCGAATGAAGCGAGGCGCGCAAATTCAATGACCGGATGGCACCGGATGCATTTCGCGTACCAAATATGACGTTCTATATCGTTTTGTAGCTTGTTAACAGTTGCTTGTGTGACGCGAGAAGTGCAAGTTGTGCATCGTATTTGAAACGAGACGACGTTGTCATTATTTTAAATTTAGAGGAAAAGAACGCGGAAACCTGTTTCTCTCGTTTCTCAAGGAACAAAGGAGGAGAGATAGGGACGCCGTTTTATTTAACTTTTTAAAGTAAATTCTTTTAACTCACGAATAAATGCTCCGGTCGACCGCTCGTGTTCCCGCAACGACTTTTTGTCCCGTCCAATCAATCGATTCCTACGAGAGCGCACAGTTGCTCGACTCTCGCTGAACGAGAGAACATAAACGAGAATGGGTCACCACGAAGACCATTGTCGTATTTCTGGTGAAGTGCTGTTCTGACGATACTGTTTAACTGTGAAACATTTAAATGTTAGTTCATCAGTTTACGTTTAAGAACATTCCTATTCATTTAGGTCGATTTTCGTATTCTTTTATCTTTAGTATCACCTCGTGTCTTGAATTTTGAGATTTCCTTATTGCGTAGTCAATAAACTTTTATGTGTGTATGCATACAATGGATATAAGTAAGTAGATAGGTTAAAGAGAATAATAATAGCATTTAAAATAGAAAATGAAAATGATTACATATAAGCATTTTTTCTCAGTTAGATTCATGTAAAATAATAACGCATTTATTCTTAATAAAATTCAAAAGTTATTCCAAATATTTTTTACTGATATTTTTTAAATCAAAAATATATATTTCAAATATCTATATCTCATGTATTTTTATGTAAAAAAACTATACATGTATAAAATATATATTTTCTCGTTAGAGAAACTAAAGGATAAATTAAAATAATGTTTTTTCATTATATGAGCGATAAAATTGGAAAATGTTATTTACAAATATTTTTACAAATCTGTATTCTATTTATTTTTCTTGTGCAACTTCCATCGCTTTGATCTATTTTTGTTTTATGTCATATTTTTAAATCATTTTAAGTTAATGTCAATATTATATAAACACTGCTTTTAAAATAATTATTCAAATTGTATAAATACTTTTAAATTATTAAAATACATACTTTCTTAATTATTTAATTATTTTTCTCTCTGTGTAAAATTTAAAATAATATTTGAAAATTAATATTTATGAAATATAATCAATAGCGTGTTCTTTTGAAATCTTTAAATGTTATATGTATATTATTGAAATTAAATATTATATTTTTAATCCTTTTACATTTAAATAAATATTACATTAAAATAAATGAATAAATACCTATATTACATTTAAATAAATTATTATTTAGTATATTTAAATAACATTTTTTAAATATTTTGTTTTACAAATATTATTTTAATTATTGTATTATATTTTAAATATAAATATTTCTGTTGCAAGTATATTTTTTTTACTCTCGCGGGTCAAAATATTTTAAAATAATATTTTATTTCAATATAGGGCACTATTTAATATATGGTTATATAAACAATTATTTTCAATCTGTAGTTGAAATCTGTTCATTATTGCATCTGTGTGGACAGAACTCGAGAGCAAAGTATACTCTATAAGTTAACTTGAGAAGAAACTTTATTTGTTTGTTTTTTTTATACTTGACGAAAAATTTCGTTTCTTCCCTCTTTATTCGAAGCGAAAGAAATTCTGGTTTCACAGCTGTCTGAATTGCTTGCTTCTGCTCTCGATGAGCCAATAAATCTCTCCGTTCCTTGCAATTCCTTGGTCCACTCGTCTGGTCATCATCCGCCAACTCGTAGAACGAGGTATCCTTTAAGAGTAGGTCGAGTGGTCGCTTGCCGCTTAAGCGATGACAATAAGGAACAAAATCAGCGGAATAGTGCACGGCGTTATGTTATAGTAGTGCTTTTTCGGGCTTCTGTACTTTGAATGCCACGCGGTCGTCTTGATATCCCTTCAGAAGACGCGCTACGTCGTCACGTTTCACGAAGACGTACGAACGCGGGACGTATATCTTCTCGCACAAAAGAGTATCGGAAACTCTCTCCAGAGACTTCCTGCTCTTCTTGAATTGCTTCTTTTCTATCATTCTGCGTCAAGTCGGATCGATAACGTCTTTCATTCTTTTTCTAATACGATTGTACACATATTGTCGATCAGCTTTTCTAAATTCTCTTGTCTGTTAACGGAAACAACATACGCAGTATCCTTTTTTAAGTAATATGTATAAGAAAAATCTTTCAGATAAATCTTTAAATGTTTGAAATAAAAGATTCGGAGCTCAACAAATTTTTATACATTTTGCAATGAAGTGAGAGAGAGATAATTGCATGTAGTATAGGAATTTTTTATAGCATTTATACGTTATATAACTTCCACAGAATATAATTTGCTTTGTATAAGAGATGCATTAAGAATGTGATTTTTCTTCAGCATATTTTTAGTTTTTTCTTATAGCAATTACATTGTTACTGTTGCAGATTGCATGATGGATTTTGCAACGGAAACCGTAATGCAATTATGCCACGGTAAACGACGATGCTCGGTGATAGCTAACAGTACAACGTTCGGTAGACCCGATCCTTGCAGCCCAATGAGCAAGACCTATCTCAAAGTCGTGTACACTTGTGGTAAGTACCGAGAAATTTTCATGTTTTCGATTCTGCTATCGACATAATTAAGCATATGCAGCGTGTTTCAATACCATGTCGTGATTACAATGATTCAAAGCTACAATCGCGAATAATTTGCACATATTATTTCTTGTAAATAAATATGCTCCGTGCTAGAAACCTCAATGAAGGATAATAATCTTTGGCTGATATTAAAAATATATCGTGTCATATTTACATTTTACTTGCAAACAAAATGATAGATAATTAAGTGGCAATGTTATATGTTAAATAATAGTGGAGGATATAAAATCATTTATTATATATATATACGCAAAAGTAATACGCAGGCAGGTTTCTTATTTAAGCGGAAAAATTATACGAACGCTTCTTTTCCAAGAGAGTGTGGCCGACAGCGATTCAGAGCGTTGCAATCCTTGAAAAGTAGTGAGAAAAAGTGATATTACGTGCCGTGCAATAACGTGTTTGGGAGGGGATTTATCCGAAGCTCGTTGCACAATGGCGTATAATGAGCGTAGCAACGCTCCTCTTTGAAGAGAAGTTATTTTATTGCGAGGTTCGGCGCGGCTTGGCAGCAGCCAGCCAGCCAGCTAGCGACAGCTTTAAACAGAATGACGTCGTCACGGATCTTCCCGTCTCGACCTGGCGATGGGATTCGTACTGAATTTCCTTCTCGACATTTTTAATGGGCACTCCACCAGGGACCGGTTACTTCGCGAAGAATAGGGAAAGAAAATTGTTGGGAAAACTGTCGACGGGAAAACTAGCGGGCGGTATCACCGGAGCGTATTTCGAGCATGACGTCGCGCAAAGGAAAGTCATCCTTTACGGGCGAAGCTATAATTTCCATCCAAATTGCGAGATGTAATTTTTAGTCCGTGAATTTATTTGTTTGTTTACGCGAAACTCGGTCGGGATGTATTCATAATAATAATTTCACGCGAGCTTTAATTATTCGTTGGATGGTGCTACTTCTCTTATCTCGGCTAATCGAAGATTCCTCTAGAACCTTTACATACAGTATATATTTTTTCTTTTTTTTTTAATTATTATAATTTATTAATTAATATAATTACGGGCGCAAAGCGAAATTATATTATTCTTTGATGATTAAATTTTACAAATTACAACGCATGTATAAAAATATATTAATTATGCAATGCACAAAAATTCAACATTTAAATCCTTAATAGAAAATGCGAACAAAAGAATAGAATTTTCTACAAGAATCGTTTGATCAAATACCTGCGCTTCCATTAGACTAGCACGTCTCCATACGTCCATATCACGCTTCGCATCTCGCGTGAGACTGATCGCCGATGTTTATTCTTGGCTATAAAGTTAGGTTTTGTCGTCAGTTGACGACAAAACCTAACTTCATCACTATTCGGTGAGGATCAGTCGGGCGAGGTGTGCAGCATGACGGACATGTGGAGATGTGCGACTCTAATTGAAGCACAGGTATTTTCATCAAAAGATTCTTGTAGAAAATCATATTTTTTTATATTCGCATTTTTATGCATTGCATAATTAATTAATATATTTTATACGTACATTGGAATAATAATTTTTATGCATGCGTTGCAATTTTCCAGATTTTATTGTCAAAGAATAATATAACTTCGCTTCGCGCGTAATTATATTCAATTCGATTCAATTCGAACGAAATGAGAAAAAATATATAAAAAGGTATAGAGAAAAAAATATACATATATACATGTAAAATGAATTTACAGTTGTAAATATATCTAGCGGAAAAAACTCGTGTTTATATGTATAGATTCTCGTCTTCTTGGCAAAGTCCCCCGATCTTTTCAACGAAACTGCAGAAATGCGACATTTTTTTCGCGAAAAGTCGCGCATACGAATTGAGAGACCTTATAAACTCGGGGAAAAGTTCTATTCTACACTACTACACCTGCAACGGGACGCTTACATGACACTCTCTGGCGAGAGCAACGGAATAGCAAGGCTTGATCCTTCATCTCGTGATGTTATTCCACGCTCCAATCCCTTTTATTCTCGCGAGCAAAATTACGCATATTCTGTACACGTACATTTTGTCAACATAGTCCAGACTCTTGTAAACAAGTATTACTTTCTTGCGGAGGTATCTCGTTTACATTAATTGTAAGCATCTTTTATCTCGTTAACAAAAGAATGAAAACGAAGAAAAAGAAGCCACCAGTGTTATGAAAATACGCTGTAATTTTTCTTGAAGTATGTAAAACTTATTTCTACTATGGAACAACACTGGTTTGGTAAATTCTTTGTTATAAAACTTTGAAAATCGGTAACGAAACAAACTGGAGGAAGAAGATTGAGAGACTATTTGAATATATCTAGCATATAATGAATATTATTATTTCTTAATTGAATCTTATTTAAAATCTTATTTAAAACATTTCTCTTTGATCTTACTCTGATAGCACTTAAAAAAGTTGGCGTGATAATATAATCATATTCGCTTACATCAGATATAACGCGATTGCATGCAAAAATTTTATCCTTCATATTCGCGTTTTTAAAATATAACTCGATAAAATATAGGATATCGATATTTTTCAATTATAAGGATTTTCGAGCCACATTTCGCATTTTTCGGGCGGAAAATCAGTTACGATTAAAATGGCAAGTACCCCTTGGCGATGGAAGGACAGTGGAGGATCGCGCTGGCCCTTTCGTGGCTCGTCGCACGTCAAATTACTGGCCGTAAACGACCGTGCACGGATTATGATTCGCGCGACGTAGCTCGAGAACGCATTTGCATGTGCCTGTGAATGCTCGATGCGAGCTCATTAGTCAATGTCACTTCGGTTCCTGTAACCGACCGAGAGCACTTACGAGAGAGAGAGAGAGAGAGAGAGAGAGAGAAAGAGAGAGAAAAGAATCGTCTCTCAGTATTCTAATTTGGAGGCGAGTCATGCATAGTTTTTCGTTGGCACGCGGCTTTCCCAATAGCTGCGAGGAAAATATGCGCATTCGTTAGGATACGTGAAAAAATTCTACAAATAAACGTCCGACTATCCGCGATCATCTTTATTCGTGATCGATTTGCCTTTGAATATATTGTAGAATAACAATTTATCGCAAGAGACAACATATCTTTAGAAAAATAGACGCCTATAGTTATGAATTTATCGATAAAATAGTTTACAAACGTAATGATATATATGAAGAATGTATATATATGAAAAGAACGATATTTCTATAAATGTGTCAATATATTTTACAGATTTGATTGATTTATTGAATTTTTTTTTATATACGATTGATTAATTTTTTTCAGAACGGGGAAGGATATATGTATTTGCTTTCGCAAATAATAATAAAAAATTTTGTATCTACTTCTTTGAAATAAGTAACATATATTTTCCGAATTTTTATCAAGTAATCGAGAGAAAAGTCTCTGATATACTTATTCGTCAAATTATATTCAAGATAAGTTGAAGTATTCTGAAGTTAAAGTAAACGTTTCTTTTGTTCATGTATGGGTGCGCACACACTGCCAATAGAGAAAAAACCTTAGGAATAATAAACTGAGAGATAAGAAAATAAGATTTCTTTCTTGTGAATTTTTCGCGGTGAATCTTGAGATTTACAAGAAGATATTATTTTACTTTAAAAGTAGATCGTTCGAAAATTATTTTACTCGTCGCAACATTTTTTCAATAAGATTGTTACTAAATGTACACGATATAAAAAAGTAAGAATATTGATTTGTTATTACATTCCGTAAGCTACATTCATTATATTAAATTTTATATACTTTTCAGTGATATAGACGCAAATTAGACGGACCACCGCATTTATATTCGCGTTAAAAATGATCCTGGTTTTTGATTTATATGTTATATTTTTTTATTTATTATCTACGTTATATAAAATTAACAAAACTAACAATATTTAATTTTATATACTTTTCAGTGATATAGACGCAAATTAGACGGACTACCGCATTCATATTCGCGTTCAAAATAACACAAGATTTTTCATTTGTATTTTATATTTTTTTATTTATTATCCATGCACGTTATATAAAATTAATAAAACAGAACAATTAAGATAATTAATTTAATATTAATATAATTGATGATATATAAATATGCGGAAACAATCGCGAGTATTCGTGTATAAAATTAATCGTATAGCGGATGGGCGGCGCCGGAAACATTCTTTCCACTACATTTTCGTTCAATCGGATGACGATATCCAGAACGAAATCAAACGTACTTCCCACTCTATTCGTATTATATCTGCAAAGCGTGTTCGTTGGCTTCTTCGCTGAATTCTCTACACTGGAGCATTGACCCGGAACAATTATCGGGCGATCTCAGAGTGTAATTGGATTCGCATGAATTATCAATGTACATCAAAGTCCCTCCTTCTGACCCGACACGAACGCAGACAGTCGTGCTGGAAGTGAAGCTCTGCAAATCCGCTGGCTCTGACCGAATCTCGATCGATCATTGACATTGGAAATATGCTAATCAGTTTCAATACATCGAATACGCCTAAGGATAATATTGCTACTGTTGTGTGACATAATTGCTGGAGAGCAGAAAATAGGGGATATGCAATATGCATTATTGTTCTAGACTTGTCAAAAATAGATGTTCTCTGTTATACGGTTTATGTGTTTGTCTTATTTTACTTATACATATTTTAAGAATAATATGAATATAAATTGTTATCGCATATTTACGAAATATTTTATTTCTTTTGAACAAAAATCAAAATTATCTTGCAACATTTAATTTTTCTAATTCTGTATATATATTTCTTCATTTTTCTATGCATAATAAAATATAATTTACTTATATACAATGTATATATAATATATATATATATATATATATATATATATATATATACATGTAATTTATATTTTATATATGTATAAGTATGAAATTAAATGAAATATATATTGAAGATAATAAAAATATCTGTGAGAATTATTTGTAGCTATTATGTGAATATAAAGTCAAGAATGAAAT